AACCCAGAAGGTCTTTTTGCCACCTTGGTCTCTGGTTTTCCACTAAACCCCCCAAAAAGTCAAAAACTTTGCAGGGGGGTCAGCAGCAACCAAGTCTTTTTGCCACCTTTGGTGAGAAAATGGAGAAAATTGGCGACCAGGGGTTCGTTTGTGAGGGGTTCTTTTGCGCTTGTGTGGGGTTCTGTGAGAAAATGGGCGACCCCCCTCAACAAAACAAGAAATGCTTCACTACAAGGGGGTCGATCATTTTTCCGCCAAAGGTGGCAAAAAGACCCCTGGAGAAACCATTGCAGCGGCATCATTATTCCAGGGTTTCTTCCGTGGTGCAGGATTTCGTCCATCCACAGTACCTGTCCAATATGGTTTCTGGGAGGGTTATGCGATTTGTTTCCCTTCCGTGTTTCCCTTTTGGTTCCGGAAGGCTTTCTGTTTAACTTGAACCAACAAAAGCCTTCCGGTACCCCGCCACCTTTTTTACATGGAGCCTGACGCTTTTTCGGGACTCGGTCCCTTGAAAAGGACGGTGGTCCAAACCAGGACCCCACCCCATCTCCACTGGGCCGATGCGGCGGTGAGGCGCACACTTTGGACGACTTGGACCTGGCCGACCTCATCTCCGAGCTCTGGCGCCGGGGCGCCCATGCTCTGGGAGTTTTTCTGGGCGGTGGAGTTGTTTTGTTTTCTTTCTTGTTTATTTGTTTTTGTTCCTCCATTTTCCGAGTTGGGTGTGTGTTTCTTTGAGGTAGCCAAAGCCAAACCCACCCAAAAGCACAAGACATGTTGCGTGTCCTTTTGGAATCTTTTTGGATGTGCGGATTGTGGGTGTTTTGAATTGGTACCAAAGCACCCGCCATCTTCAGGTGGGTCCCCTATTTTCACCCACTTGGAACCCCAAGAGGCATTTTTTCCCTCCCGCACACATCACGAGAGGGTACATGGAAGATGAACTTCCTCTTCACGGGGCGAAGGAGAAACATCATGTTTCGGTGGGACGCGCAAGAAGCCTGAGCCGCAATCAAAACGGGGTAGAGGAAGGTTTGTAAGGGATATTCCCAACCATAAATAGCCGCGCCCGCCTTAGTTCTTTACATGGTTCTGGGGGTTGAATTATGACTTACTTGGGGCAAACCGAGCTTGCTCGTACTCAAGGCCCCTTCAAGGCAGGATCCTTTGCTGCAGGTTGGAGGACTATAGGAATCCGTGCAGGCGTGTTGATGCCTTGAAATGCGCCAGCATGTTGAGCCAAGCTTCGAACTGCGCCGTATCCGGGTACAGGCCGTACAGGCAGCTTGTGATCAATCTATGCAGGCTTTCGACAAATAATGTGTTTGTTCAATTCAGAGCCGTCAATTCTTGATGTATTGAATTGTGACCGTGGTATGCTTATTTTCCCATGAATTTGGGTTGTTTAAATCAAGCCCTTACTCTTATGCCAGTAGTGGTTTCCGCAGGGACGGATTACAGATCAGGATCCCACCATGTTGAACAACTCAACCCAGCCACTTAATGTATTGAGTTCATCAGTTTTGCCTGGAGGGTTATTTAGAGCCCAACCTTTTGCAGCAAATGCTGTCATTTGACAGTCCTGAGCTGCTTCTGCAAACAAGACTCTGCAAATGTTATAGGCTCGCGCATATGGAATGAAACTTGTCCAACTGCTTATGCTTCTTTGTCCTTGACTTTGGGAGTCTGCATGTTTTCGTGCTCCTGTTCACCGCTTGGTTTCGGCGGGGTTTTGGTGCGTCTAGTTGGTTCTTGCACGTCTTGGAAGAACATGACGTAGGCCTCCGCAAAGAGGTGTAACTGTCTCAAAGAAACGGGGTTTCGGTCAGCCAATGTGCAAACAAAAGGCCGATTTTCAACATGGATACCCTCCCATCCACTAACATAGAATCTGACCGGGGGGTTCTAGCAGGCAATTTGCCTATGAGAAGGACCCTTTGGTGTTTTCCATACTAAATAATGGGAAAGGAGACACTGCCGAAGGCAGGTGCCGAAACTGGGGTATGTGCTGCGTTTTTCACTGCTGACATCGCCAAGTCCCGAAAACATGTCTATTCTGACCAATTGTTCACACACTTCTTCAACCGGGCTAAACGCGCCAGAAACGTGCGAAAGTAGCGGGCGACCTTGATAGTCAGCTTAAATCCACATCTTTGAAACCCCGCATCGGGGGGTTGATTAAAAGGAAACCAAGAAGATACCAAAGTTGTGGGGTCCATACCTCCCTGCGAAAAGGTCTGGGATGGGTCGAGCGCCTAAACCGCGAGGCCTCTCCGTGGTGGACGGCGCAGTCTCAGACGCGGGGAGGAGCCAAATCTCTGTGGAGGAGCCAAATCTCCGCGAACTTGGGACGAGCCAAAACCCTTCAGGTCCTTTAGAAGTTGTGGAGTTGTGGATTTCGCTCCTGCAGAAGGGAGTTGTGGAGTTGTGGATTGCAGGAGTTGTGGTATTTCCAGTTTGAGAGTTGTGGATTGCAGAGCTCTGGTCTCATGGACTCAAAGCTGTTTGAGACAACTTCAGTGGTACAGGTTTCGATGGTTATGGCAGCAAAAACGGTGTTAAAAGACAAACCCGCTTTTCAGAACATGGCCATGGGTCAAAGTCCCGTAGTGAACCTCTCAATCCTCACTAAAATAGACCAAACATGGGTGGTGCACCTACCCCAAAATGGTACCATTGGTTTTGACCCACAGCCACATGACCCTCACAGGCTCGACTTCAAGCAAAAAAGGGATGGTTGACAAAGAAAGGCGGAGCCTGTCTAGCCCGTGGCTGGAGGGGAGCCGTTACAGAGCTGGGGGTATCCAAATTTGGTTTTAAAGAGTGCTAAGGAGGGGTCCCGTCCATGCTTCACATCACCCCGCAGTTTCGGTGTGTGTGTGTGTGGGTGTGTTTGGGCACCCTTTTTTGGGGGTTTGGGGGCAAGCCAAAAGGAAGCCACCCGTTTGGAGGGTTCCCTATCGTCAGTCTTTCTTTGAGAGGACATGTGCAACGGGGGGCTCGAACTCCCCGGACGTGACAAAAAAACCCTTGCTGAGAACCAAGGTTTCTTAAGGCTGGGTGTGGTTCATAGTGGGATCACAACAAGTTGTTTTGGCCAAAGTCGTTGGGAAGTCACAGCCGAAGCTATCTACTGCCCTTGTTGCTTTCGCGATGTGAGAATGGTTCAGAATGGCGCCCCTCGTGGTTTGGTAGGCCGATCTCGTCAACTATTTTAGGCCGATTCATTTGAGAAACACCCAGTCCTAGGTGATTTTTGGTTGTCTGCTTTGTTTGGTTTCACCGGAAGTGTTGATCTGTGTTTACTGGCACTGCACGCCAACCCAGTAGTCGACACGATGTGTCCCTTTGGACATCAACTGGGTTCAAGCCTATGGGTAGTCCACACGTGGAAGTCCATTACCAGGGATCCCCACTCCGAAGGCGTCGCTTTCTTGAGCCTTTCCGAACCTCAGCGGATCCCGCCTGTGGTTTTTCCCCCTTTTTTGGGGTACGGGAACCCCGATTCCCTAAACTCAACCAACCAGCAAAAATGGATGCCCTTTCTCCCCCTTTTGTTTGGGGCACGGGTTCCGATTCCTTTAAACTCCAGCAAGTCAATAAATTCGGCTGCTCCCAAAAAAAAATAACAAAAAGAAGTCGTCAAAATTTCACCTCGGAGGCCCTTGCCCCCCTTTTTTCCCTTTTTCTTAAATCCGCATCCGGAGATCCCGCGCATCTGAGTCGAGGAGTACATGGCCTCCTTGGCGCTGGAGCAGCAGATGCAGATGGAGGCCGAGTTCCAGGAGCTGCCGTGCGCCGTGCCTCGCCGATTTGGACACCGCAAGCGGGCGACAGACCCGGGGAGTTTGGTTGCGTTTTACCTCAGGGGACCCTCAAAAACCGGTGGATTTGTGGCATTTAGTGGTTTTTACCTCAAGGGAAGCCTCAAAAAAAGTTGGGGCTTCTTTTGGGAAGCCGTTTTTTTTGGGGGGGAAGGTTTATAAAGAACCTAAAAGGAAAGCACTCGAACTTGGGGTCCGCATGTTGCCTGCGGCCAAGTTTCGTGCATCACTAACAACCTCCAAGCTTCCCAATGCTGGTGAGTTTCGTGCATTTGATTTTAAAGATGACTCAAAATATAGGGGCCTACGTAATAGTATTCTCACAAGAGCATGAGATAAAAGTTGATTCGTACCTCACAACCCCAATCTAATTGTTTAGGCCAGTGCAGTATGGTACTTTCCATTTGCTCCAGGGATCCTTCTGTTCAGAGTTTGTCCCACAACTCAGAGATGTTAATGATTTCGCGCAAGAACGATGCTTGAAACCAATGAGAGCCAACCTGTAGAACGTCTACTGTGGGTGCGTCTTTTTGGATAGTGCCTTCTGTGGTCCCCCAACAGTCAGAAGCCCATGTTGGCAAATAGCAAGACACCAAGAGGTTCCGCCCATGGCTTGTTTTCGGGATTTCTCTTTTTGTGTTGTGTCGTGGCTGTTTGCTGTTTGAGTTTGTTTGTTTGTGTGTTTTGTTGTTTTGATTTGCTTTGCGTCCCTTTGTTCATGTTTGTTTGGTTTTGGGGGAAATTGTTGTTTGTTGGGGCTTGCTTGTTGGCTTGGATGGTTGTTTGATTGTTTGAATGATCGTTTGTGGGAAGCGTATGCTCATGTGTGTTTGTGTGTGTGTGTGTCCATATGTGTTTGTCTTGTGTTCTGGGGTGGGCGGATCCTTGAAATTTAGAGTAACTTCATTTGTTGGGCACGTGGCGGGGGGGGGGGTTTCAGGCAGGTTGGGTGGGTGGGTGGGTGATTTAACACGTGGAACTGCTGAAGCATGGATGCGTTCTATTCTGCAACTCATTTGTTACGCTCACAATTTCCCTGTATTTCACAGCACTTGTGTGGCAAACTTCATGCCTTGGGCACGCAATTGAATGCCCTGAAATTTGATGAAGCTCTGGAGCGATGTGCCTGGAAGGAATGCAATGCAAGGGTCCTAATTGAAGCGCGCAGCAACCCCCCCAGCATCTTGCTTGCTGTCCACGATATCCCTCATTGGGCGCCAGACGATCGGTTGGTTGGAGTCATGTTGAAAGGGCGCCTGGTCTGGTGCTTGTCGTGTTTGCTGGAAATGGCGTGTGGCCAAAATGAAATGAAACCCTGTCTGGGCCTGTTTGAAGAGGAAACTAACATGAGACATTCCCGTTTGCATTGTTGTTTCTGCGGGTGGCAAATGGCACCCATTTGGTAAGCACCACAGCCATGCTTTCTTTACGAACCAATTCAAGATGCATTTGTTTGTGGTTGAGCACTACTCAGATCAATGCTGAGAACAAGTTGCAGAGGCATTGGGCTGGTCATGGTTATCACCTCGGGGGACAACCCCAACCGTCATGCCAGAGCAGAAGTGCTTTTCGTGGGAATGTGTGTGTGTGTGGTTTTGCTTTGCGTTCGCCTGTTCATTGTAGACCTCGGCGTGTTGCATTCAGCAAGCCCTTGCAGTATGACGCTGGTGCCCTGATCTTACTTTAAAGGTTACATCCAGGTGATCAGTTTCATTCTAGGTGCGCAAAAAAACCGAGCCGGCGTATGCAACATGCGGCGTAGCTGCCAGACGAGTTTGAAATGAGGCCTAAGCATACCAGTTTTGGCCCCATCTCTCAGGTGTTGGAATTGTAGTTTGGTAAAAGTAGATGGCATTGTGCCCCCCAGTCTGGTTTGACCCCACTTGACTCACCATGGCAGTCGCGCCATCGCAGCTACCTTGACGTACATGTGTGTGTGTGTGTGTTTAATATGGGATCCCTCAAAACAGATTTGGTCGTACATGTGCGTGTGTGTGTGTGTGTGTGTGTGTGTGTGTGTGTGTGTGTGTGTGTGTGTGTGTGTGTGTGTGTGTGTGTGTGTGTGTGTGTGTGTGTGTGTGTGTGTGTGTGTGTGTGTGTGTGTGTGTGCGTGTGTTTTCTTAATGGGATTCACCGAACATAGGGTACCTCCCACAAAAGGACAACTCTGCATGCCTCTGTCAAAGACTGGCCCTTGCCCTCGGTGCGCTTGTCCCATGGTGCTATGGCCGTGGCCCGGTCAAGGGGACTTCGTAGCGGGCAAGGTCCGAATATCCAAAAGTGCCGTATGTGTCTGGGGGCTGCCAACTTTACATATATATATATATTTGTGAGACAAAATACGAAGCCATATCTGAAGATAATTTGATGTACCCGAGAGTGGGACTTTCGATACGTGTTCCCTTGGGTGGCGCTACTGGTTTAGGGGCAATTATGTGATTCTGCCACATTTGTTTTCCCGACAATGTTGACCCCGAAGTGGTAAGCCGTGCGAATTTCCTCAGTGAAGAATTCCCTGAATTGACCAAAGCCCAGTCGCCCAGTAAATTCCGCCCTCTTTCCCTTTCTTTGGGGAAGGGTTCCCTTAAACTCAACCAACCCAAAAAAGAAAAATGATACCCTTTTTGCTTCACGGAAATCCACGGGGCATCTGAGAAAGTCCAATCGTCAGAAGGACACGTTGCAAGTTGGCTTTTCCGACAGGAGCTGGAGGACAAAGAGCCACCGGAGGCAGAGCTTCCGAAGGTGTCGGAAAATGGTGATAAGTCGGAAGCTCGCCAGCCTGCATTTGCTGAAAGGAATATGTTTTATTCTCCCTTGTTGGGGGGTTAAAGGACATACTGGAAATATTGTTTGTTTTTCAGTGGGCTTGAGCAAATGAGTTTTAAAGGACATCTATCACTGCTGGAAATACTCTTGTTGTTTTTGTCCAGTGGGCTTAAGCAAATGAGAGCCAGGCAAACGGGCGTGTGTTTGTGACATGTTGTTGAGGGTCCCCCTTTCACCTTGGTGTGAAGGGAATGCAGCAGAAGCGCAACTATTTGGGTCGCCCTGGTCCCCCTGATTTTTCACACCCAAATGAGCGAAGCTAGGTGCATGGACAGGGGGTACATCTCTGGGCAAACTACAATAATTCATTAATTTGGGAATCCCCAAGTATGAGGGATGGGGGCGGTTCGACTTGCCAATTTTGATGACTCGGCTACACCAAACTTCAATTCTAGTACGGGGTTCTGCTGATTTCAAATTCCCTAGTTTGAGGAATTCTGGGTCAGAAACGGCGGAAAGGCAGAAACAACCAACAGGAACCACTTGAAACCTTGGTGGGTTCCTGGCCATCCCCCTCAGGTTGCTTTGAGATTTTCGCTGGTTTAGTGGTTGGATTTCCATTTGTCCCACAAGTTGAGCTTTCAGCAGGCTTCCATTTGCTTAAGAATATGTGGTTTTTCTCCTGTTGGTTTTAAAGGGAACTTATCACAACTGGAAGTGTTTTCTCATTTTTCTCCAGGGGTCTTAACCAAATGGAAGCAGGGGATCTGAAACCGGACAGCCCCACACGACCCCGGCAGAGACCGGCCGAAAAAGCCGCGCCCACGGGCGCGCGCGCGGCGCGCGGCGCGCGCGCGCGCTCGTCAGATGGAGCTGGGCGCCGCGGTGGCTTCGGTGCGGGAGGCCGGGGGCGAGATGAACTGGGTACTGCTGGGCCGAAGCCTCAGAGCTCAGATCGCGGGGGGAGGGGGAGGGGGAGGGGGAAATGGTTGTGCGATCGGTAAGTGGAAACATGGACCAACACCTGCGGTTTGCCCCTCCGATCGTTAAAAAATTGAGCCACACCCAGATCACGGTGGACCCCGGATCCATCTGAGATGAATGTTGGTGGTTCCCAGCCATCCGGTTCCTTGGCCTTTTAGCTATTTAGTGTTTAGTGGGGATTTCCATTCAACCCACTAAAAGTTCAGCTTTTAGCGGGGGATCTGAGGACAGCCCAGGAATATTATATTTTTCTCTCCCAACCTGATGGCTTCAAATAGGGAAGCTATCACTACTGGAATTATGTTTTTTTTCTTCCCGGGGGCTTAAGCAAATGGAAGTGAGTAAGTCTTTCATAGGTATCGGACCCTCCAAATGGCGCAACGGCCATTCCTTTTGGTGTTCCTTCCCGTTAAAAAGACACACTCAAGTGGAACTCGTCCTGTTGGCATGTTTTGGGGTGGGCCCCGCCCTGATGATTCACTACGAAACTTAGAGACACCGTCTTATTAATCAATTGGGCCTGATTGATCCGGGGTCATCCGGTGCACCTTTGGCGTTGCACGGTGATGGCTTCACGCCACTGGGATCGCTTTTTGAATCTATTGCACGTTTGCCCACGAACATGGGCCGGAATCAAACATACTATGTTTGGTTGGGGAAGCTGAATTAGACTTGTCAGCATGCTCACCGGGCTTCATGTTGTTCCGTTCATGAGGCCGTACGGGCTGGGCTTACGGGCTTAGGTTTCGGACGGATGGACCAAGGCATGAAAAAACCTGCTGACAAGGAGATGGGACGCGCTGGCAAATGAGCGTGGCTGTAAATAGGCGACCCACAAAATGGTGGTTGCTCATTTGGTTTCCCTTGCAAAGCGCAACACGGGTACCCTCAAAAACTGACGCCGCAAATGCATGTCCATCACGATTCATTCCATCGGTATGGTAGCCACATTTGGTGGAATCTGAAGTATCCGTTGGTGGCCATGGCATCATCCATTTGATGGTATCCCGCAAGCCCATTGATAGATGCTCGTTTGTTCTAAATTGTAACCAGGGATCGGGCACGCTGACAGATCTTGATTTATCATGATGCGCAACCTTTGCAAGAGCCATGGTCAATACACCGTAGGAGGCAACAGGAAGGGAAACGAAAGCCGCAGAGGAAAAGAAGGCAAAGGAGGCAGAAGACGCAAAAGCCAAGAAGGCGGAGGAGGAGAAGAAGGCAAAGGAGGCAGAAGACGCAAAAGCCAAGAAGGCGGAGGAGGAGAAAAAGGCAAAGGAGGCAGAAGACGCAAAAGCCAAGAAGGCGGAGGAGGACAAGAAGGCAAAGGATGCAGCGGACGCAGAAGCTAAGAAGGCGGAGGAGGAGAAGAAGGCAAAAGATGCAGCGGCTGCAGAAGCCAATAAGGCGGAGGAGGAGAAGGCAATCTTGGCAGCAGCGGCACTAGCAAAGAAGGCGGAGGAGGAGAGGAAGGCAAAGGAGGCAGAAGACGCAAAAGCCAAGAAGGCGCAGGAGGAGACAAAGGCGATGGAGGCAGAAGACGCAAAAGCCAAGAAGGCGGAGGAGGAGAAGAAGGCAAAGGAGGCAGACGATGCAGAAGCCAAGAAGGCGGAGGAGGAGAAGAAGGCAAAGGATGCAGCGGACGCAGAAGCCAAGAAGGCGGAGGAGGAGAAGAAGGCAAAGGATGCAGCGGACGCAAAAGCCAAGAAGGCGGAGGAGGAGAAAAAGGCAAAAGATGCAGCGGATGCAGAAGCCAATAAGGCGGAGGAGGAGAAGGCAATCTTGGCAGCAGCGGCACTAGCAAAGAAGGCGGAGGAGGAGAGGAAGGCAAAGGAGGCAGAAGACGCAAAAGCCAAGAAGACGCAGGAGGAGAAAAAGGCAAAGGATGCAGCGGACGCAGAAGCCAAGAAGGTGGAGGAGGAGAAGAAGGCAATCGCAGCAGCGGCAATAGCAAAAGCAGCGGAGGAGAAGGCAAAGGAGGGAACGGCGACAGAAACCAAGAAGGCTGGGGCAGAGAAAATGACAATGCAGGCAGTGGCCGCAGAAGCCAAGAAGGCGGAGGAGGAGAAGAAGACAAAGGCGGCAACGAGCGCAGAAGCCAAGAAGGCAGAGCAGCAAAAGAAGGCAATGGAGACGGAAGCGTATGAATCTCAATAGGAGGGTTGAGAATCGTTCGACTTCGAAAAGGAGGCCCCCCAAAACTGCGAATTGCCTTTTGGTGTCCTGTACCCCAAGCCGACAGAGTTGGCTTCAACCAGCAGGCTTCCCTCTTCCCATGGAAGCCAAAAAGTGGTTGCATGGATTGAACAGGTGGATAAAGCACCATGGTTCAAAAGCCGAGGGTTGGCCCAACCTTAATTACAACCTGAGAAGCGCGGTGACAGTGGCAGGCCAGATCTTCTGTGGCATCCAGTCACAGCTTGTCAGCTTCTCGGGCGGAGGGGTGTTGCTTCAAGGTCCCCGGGCGTGTCTTTTGTTTGGGTGCCCTTTGGGGTTTTGCTTAGAGGGACAATAGAAGGAAACTACCTTTTGGTTGGGCTCCCCCCCCATTTTGCCAGATACGCACCTTGGTTTCATGCGAGCTGTCCTGTAAAAGATGAACCAAGTGACGTTGAGTGTAGTTTTTTTGTGTTTGTTTTTTGCCAGGGCCAGCAGGAAGTGCAGGGAGATGTAGTTTTCTTGGAAGGGCTGTCAAGAAGTCAAGCTCCGAAACACAACATAATCCTAATCACACCAATATCCTATGGGGAAGGCTGAATTCACGACTCTCAAAGGGAAATTCCACTGAACGGCGGGTGTTTTGGCTGCACGTGATTGAGACCTGTTTGTTAGCGCGTGTTCTGTTCTCCTGTAAGGCGGTGTTCAGTTCTCCTGCGTGCATTCACTCTTGAAGGCGTGCTTCTAGGTTGTGATCGGGAGGCCGATTGGCTTCCAGCGCGCTGCCAATGCAAATCGACCTAACCCATTGGCTTCCAGTTTCTTCGCCAGAGGTACCCTCTGTTGGATGAGTTTTAAAAGGCGAGCCAAAAGAGACGGACGATTTGGGCCAACTAATCGAGACCTTTGCAAGCCTGGCATCTGTGAATTTCCCACAAAAAGCACCGAAAGGGCTGACAGTGGCCAAGCCCGTGGGTGCGAAATAGCACATGGTGAATTCGACCCAGCACACCGAAATCTTAATCTTGCTGGTGCGATAGGTAGGGAATGACCTTCCGGGTTTTGGGTTTGTTTGGCACCCTCCGTCTACGGACACCTCGCCTTCCGTCCGAGGTCCTCAAGACCAGCTCGAGGCACACCTCGGGCCCACACCTCGAGTCCTGTTTTGCAGATGGCAACGAGGAAACAGAGACTCATGCGGTTGATATTTGTGTCTCAAATGTTTGCTGTGTGTTCACGCGCCGGTGTGTTTGCGTGCTTGTTTGTGTTTGTGCATGTGTGGCGCGTGTTTGTTTGTTTGGTTGATGTGTGTTCTTTACTTTTGTGCTTTTTGTTTGGCTTGTTTCTTTGTTTTTTGTCGTGTGTTGTGTTTGGTTATGTTTTTGTTGCCCCATCATTCGCTCGTTCGTTCGTTTGTTTGTGTGTTTGTTTATTTGTTTGTTTGGTCGGTCGTTGGGTCGGTTGGTTGCTTGCCAGTTGTTTGCTTGCTTATTTGTTTGTTTGCTTGCTTGCTTGCTTGCTTGCTTGCTTGCTTGCTTGCTTGTTTTGTTATTGTTTGTATGCTGATGGTGTGTTTCCTTTTTGTATGAGCAGGTGTGTTTGTGAACACGTTTTGCTGTTTGCAGTTGCTTTGTGCTTGGGCTTGTTGTTGTCCTGGTTTGGCGCGCGGTCCCTTTTGGTTTGGTTGCCTTTGCTACCCTTTGCCAACTCCAAACAAATCAGGGGACCCATATGTTGGGATCATTCGTGTATGATTTGTGTGGTGACTTGTGGACTGCCACAACAAGTTGGCGTAGAGGGCAATCCAACGAACTCCCAGTTCCTTTCCGACTTACGAAAGTGCTGGCTTGAGATGCCGTTTCGCGATTGATTTCACCCAGATCCAAGTTCTAGCACAAGGCAGCCCATGGTTTCGAGCATATTCTTTGGCGGTTTCCCCTGCACGAAAAGTGCATGGATTCCCCGAGCGGCGCGGTGGTTCACTGCGCGGCGAATTCGGGACGGTCGGGCGCCAGATGCCTCTGGCAAAGATCTCACAGGCCATCGGCGGGTTTGGGTTTGGTTGAGGCGAGCGTGCCCAGACACTCCATGCATTGAAGAAAACACGCCATTACTTGCTTCCATTTGCTGAAATGAATATGCTTATTATTATTTCCCTTGTTGGCTTTAAAGGGAATCTATCACTATTGGATATAGTTTCCTGTTTTTGTCCAGGGGCTCTCAAGCAAATAGATCAATAGCTCAGTAGAGATGTTAGTCAAGCATTTTCAGGGTTGCTAGAAAAGTGACCCGCATGAGCAGTTTTGACCATGAGACAGGTGGCGGGGGAAAAACAAGGCACTTCTGTTCTTTTTTGGGAGGGGAGTCCTCCCCGAAGACAGCGGCACCAAAGAGACCCGTGGCTAGAAATGGTTCGGCCAACAGAAACGGATGGTACCCTTTTCCCAATGGAAGCTGACAGGTTCTAAGATAACTTTTTGGAGAAGCTTCTTGTCCAATTCCGTGGTTGGGGAGAGGGCAACTCGTATAAATGGTGCCATTTTTCACAGCGCCAGTCGTCACATTCCTGGGAGTGGGCAGGGGCCGCATTCCCAGTTCGGCGGCGCTGGAGATGTGCGATGTCGGGTCGCTGTGTCGAACTAGGAACCGATTTTGGGACGGCGTCCGCACAAAACCACGACCCCAGCAGTGTGGAGGCATCCACAGGTTTTTGACCCAACGACCAGGAAACGAGCAAGGGACGCACAGGTTTCCCATGTCCACTGGTTCTCCCTACATCAAGAGTCAAGATACAAGATGCGTGTTGCTTCCTGAAGGTTCTGGATCCGGTGTTTTGTTTTTGTTTGTTTCTTTATTTCCTAGTTAAAAATCAAAACAAAAAACAAAACAAAAACTAGGGCTGGGTTGGTTGGTTGGTTGGTTGGTTGGTTGGTTGGTTGGTTGGTTGGTTGGTTGATTGGTTGGTTGGTTGGTTGCCTTGCCGCATGCCCGGCATCACCAGCCTCAATTGGCCCGGGAGTTGTTTGTTGGCTCTGATTGGAAGGCAGTTGGGAGTTGCTGGGGGCTGGTTTAAATTATATAAGGGGGGTTGACGCTGGCTTAGCTCTTCATTCGGGTGGTGGTTTGGGGTTGATTTAGGGCTAACATTCAGGCTGCTGTTGGGCGGGTTTGGGGTTAACTTTGGGTGGATGTGGGGTTGGCTTGGAGCTGATTTGTGTTGGGTGTGCTGCTGGAAAAACGGTGCCTTTCGGGTTGCTTTTGGGACGTGGTTACGCGAGTTTTGGACTCGTTTAGGATTGGTTTTGGAGCGTTGCCCCAAACTGCCAAAACTAGCCCACAACTCACGCAACAACATTCCTACAGCAACCTAAAGGCACCGTTTTTCCAGCAGCACACCCAACACAAATCAGCTCCAAGCCAACCCCACATCCACCCAATGTTAACCCCAAACCCGCCCAACAGCAGCCTGAATGTCAGCCCTAAATCAACCCCAAACCACCACAAGACCCACCCTCAACCCCAACCAGAGCCAATAAACAACTCCCGGCCCAATTGAGGCTGGTGATGCCAGTGATGTTGCCAGCCCTGCGGAAAACCAGCCCTATAGGAAGAAAAACACCTCTACCTAGGGGTTCTTACATGCATCATTCACTATATTCACTGCTTTTGTGAGACTATATTTCCTTTTTGTGTGCGTAACCTGGGCGCAGCTTAGACGGACACCATTGAGACGGGCAACGTTTATGCAAGTGCCGTGTTTGTGTGGATGATGTGAGTGTGTGTGTGTGTGTGTGTATTCGTTTATTTCAGGGTGCCACTGTCAGGTCGAAAATTGCAAAGGCCGTCAACAAAGCCAGCATGTTGGTTTCCAAATCCTGATTTTGATTCACACACACACACACCCATCAGGGCAATGTCTTGAGACCTGGTCAGGCCAGGACGAGCCACGGCTGCCGCTTGGCAAGGGGTTTTAAGTTCCCTGAAGTCGGCACTCTGTGGCACTGTTTCAACACGCTCAACCTACCTTTTACATTTGTGGACTGAACATGTGGATATACATAAATTGCCAACCCTTCATTTTAAATTGCTAAGACAGTCGGGCAAAGTATACAAATGGTTTGCTTGTGGCTGGCTCCTCTTCTTTGAGTAATGCGCAGACGGCTGGAGAGGTGAGCGGAACCTAGTTGAGCATCCTTGATTTGGACCACAGAGTTAGGGAACGTTGGACTTCAGCGAGCTAAGAAAAGGCAAGAATTGAACCACGCAACCATCCCCCAAGAAAGGGATCCCAGCGGGGTTGGGCAGGGTAACCCTAGCCGCCTTGAGAGGGAACCAACCAGAGCCTGGACCCCGGTGCTTGACTGGGGCAAACATTCCCCCAAAGACGCACCCAACCTTTGGGCCTTTGGTTGTATTTCCCCTTGTTTTCCATAGAATCTAGAGAAACCCGTTCATTTTGGATTCCTTTTTACTTAAATCCCACACTTGTCGGCCTAGGTGTCCTTATTTGGGTTGATTCGGTTGAAAAAAGTCGAGGGCGGTTCCTGGTTTACCTGGTGCTCCGATCAACCAGGGCCATCTTGTCGGGGATGGGACGGATGGGTTCCGAGGACCGGGAAGCTGAAGCTGAAGACTGGCTGGGGCTGGTGGTGGGCTCGGCGCCCAATTGCGGCTGCCAGCCCGTCGTCCTAACTTCAACTTAGGCCTTTGGTTGAGGTTTTGTGGTTGGTTTTGTGGTGGGGTTTTGTGGTTGGTTTTGTGGTGGGGTTTCCGAATGTACAACCACAAGTTAAAGTGTTAGCGAGGGATCTGCAAACGGACAGCCCAGCGCTATAGGAACGTCTGTTGACGGCTATGGATTCATGAAATTGCATGTGGCTGTTGGGTTTGTTGGAAGCACGCTTGTGGCATGAGAGGTTGTGAAAACCAACGTGTGATACCGCGGGAATTTCTTTTGTCACGGGAAATCCTACTTCCGTATCACAGAAAGGGCTGCTTTCCAGATCCATTTAATTCATCTCTCCAGCCCCAAGCTCGATGTTTGATTTCCAGACCAGACCAGTCTAGTTGCAAGTGAAGTCGCTGGCGGTGAGTTTGGAGTACTTTTTTGCAGCTGAACATGTCACCAGAAGCAACCCATCTATTTTCGGAGGAATCGGCGTTTGACGTAACGTTCCCTTTTTAGGTGGCCTGTGAATTTGTATATATTTGTATGGGTGTCAGTGAGACGTGGGAGAATGTGGGAAGTCCGGTCCCTTGCGTTGCTCTCAATTTGTTGCATCAACTCGAGACTCGAGGCGTCCAAGCCCCTGACGGTGGATGTTTCCTTGCACGAAAGCCAGGAGTTTCCAACCAATGGAGGCTGCCCTTTGGATTTTCTTTTTTGGAGTAGATGCCTTCAATGCGGTTTTGATGGCGGTTTTTTGATGGTGGCTTGAATTGTCATGGCGCCTTGCCCCTTTTTAACTTTCGCCCCCGCATCAAGATTGGCTTTTGGGGAAGATGGGGTCAGGCACGGTCAAGCGCAATGTTGTGATCCTCTGATCTTGGGCGGACCAGCCCGGTCACGGAACCCCGCACGCATTGCCATCCGCTGCTGGGCTATGACGTTGATGTGCAACATTTTGTTTGAAAGCCCGGGACCCCCGTTCCAAGAGGCTTGGGTCCTTTGGTTTGTAGCCACACCCCTGGAAATGTTCGGTTTTGCCTTTATTTTCCCACTGCCCCGGCTAAGCCATTTGAGGCGCGCAGGCATGTGGAGCTTAAATGCGGCAAACTGCAGTGGTGGCGCAAGGAGAGAAGCTGCGCTCGGATCGTTTGCGTCTTTGTTCGATGTTTTGTCAAGCTCACTAGGAGTAAGGAGCTCACCCCTGATGGAAGGAATGTTTGTATGTTTTCTTGTTTGTGGTTCATAGAAGGAGCTGAACAAGTACTAAGTAACATACTTATCCAATGATTCATGATGTAATTTGGGTTGTACTAGTTCTCCACAACCATTTTGTTTATCTCTTGTTTATGGTAATTCAGACACATTGTAGGGGTAAGTTGGATGTTTGCGGCCGGTATGTTGTTGCTATACCATTCGTTGAATGGTCTTGTGTTGTTGAGTTTGCTGGGGATCCCATCGGGTGGACCAGTGCGTGTTGTATGCAGGGATGCCTTTCCGGACGTTATCCACACGTGAAAAGTTCAATTCTCCTTGACCTCGGCGGCTGGCTGCCACCTTTTAGCCAAGGAAGTTGGCCGAATGTCCTGAAGCTGAGCGTTCCTTCCGTGTCCTATTGCAACACTACCCATCATTACCCCAGTTTGTTTTGCTGCCAGCTGCGTCGAAGTTATTCATGTCCGGCGCATGGACTTGACCCGCTGCTTTCAAACATGAACCTGCACTGTCTAACTTCCCAGGAAGGAAACCACGGGGTTCCTGCCTTTTGCGCATTCGCTTTCCTTTGTTGCGCCGCCCAGGAAACCAGGATTTGTTTTTGTTGTTTCCGAGGCATGTGAATTGACATGAGAGATGCTCTCGGAAGGAGCCGCAGGGCCCGCCTGACGTGGAGGCAGTCGGGCGTCAGTCGGCGTCGGTTTCAGCTGGGGATGCTGGGGCTTTGATACTGAGGGGCACAGGATTTCAGCCCTTAAGCCCCTCTGAAAAATCCAGCTTGGGCAGCAGAGGGTTGGGATCCTGCGATTGTACTCTTGTCATCTACCAACAGGGAACCTGATAGGGGCCTACAAGACCATTTTCCTTTTAACGGGACCTGCAAAGCATGTGCAAAAGCTGGGGTGCTATCATCACGCGGGCCACTATCAGAGTGTGCTGTGAGTCGTTGGATCTTAGGAGACGTTCCCGACTATCAGTGGAACCGGCTTTCTATTGTAAGCACTTTTACCTACAGCTTTGCCTGGTGTTGTTTGTAGCTCTGACATTTCAGGATTCCTTTATATTTCCCCTTGATGAGGGTGCTTTTGGTGAGGTTTGCCAGCTATTTCAGCTTGCATATAGGGCTCGAACTGCGTAGCCCCCAGCCCTCGTCTTTTTCCATGTCCGTTTGGGGCAACGCAAGTAGGACTCCCCCCGCTGCCCCGGCCTCATCGCCTCAGTTGCGCCTCAGCGACGGCGTCACTCGCTGGGTTCTGACGCGCCACGAGGCGACGGAAGAATCCCGAAGCGGTGAGTTCCTGAATCGATGCAGCGGTCAGTCGGTCGGTGGGTCGGTGGAATGTGTGTGTGTGTGTTTCATGTTTTTGTAATTTCCTTCGTTTTGGTTTGGTTTAACTTGTCCCGGGGTGGAATGGTGCTTTGAAGGTGGACACTGACCCCTGGTCCACTGGTTGCACGGTTGTGGGAATTGGGATTCAGGCCTTGAGAGCCGCAAAGTAGTCATGGGGATTGCGCAGTTCGGGATCGCAGAATGGTAACTATGTTCATTTTCACCGGCATGGTCAGATGGGGAAGTAGAATTGGGGGAGTCAGCCAGAGGTATCCTGGTCGGTTGCGTGACCCAGGGTTTAATTCGATGTGGGGGTGACCAATGATAGAGCCTTGAATCAGCAATTCTTCGAGTGCAGAAAGCGCCTTTCCCGGCGAATCAAATTTTGGTCCCGGCTGAGTGCAGCGCAGGTTCCCCAAAGGGGGTTCCCTTTTAGACTAGCAAATCCCCCGCTTGGATGCATCTTAGTCCCCTGTGGCTTCAGTAGAAAGCTTCCAAATTCTTCCCTACCTTTCAGGTGTTTGGAAAAGACGAAACTTGTGTTCCCTTGAGTTGGGAAAGCCCGTCAGAGCAACCCGCAACCAACCTTTTGCGCCCAATCACTCAGCGCGAAATGGATGCTGGCAGGGTCTGCCATTTGTGTTCCCAAGAGGGCATGGAAGAAATACAGTAGCGGGTCCCCTGCTTTTTGTGGGACCACAAGAACCAAACCTGGTTTTCTGGCACTGTTTCTTTAGCTACCTGATTCCAGCTTCTGACTATGAGCCTTGTACTGAAGGTGACCACAACCTTCAGACAGTTTGGTTGAAGTAAACAAGCAACACCCTTGGAGTAGAGACCGAACAGCAGATTCCTGCTGCATAGCTAGCAACGGGAAACTAGGAAGAAGTGCCGCCAAAACTCCATTTCTATCGGCTCACTTGCTTCAGGCTTTACGGCTGTCTTCCTTTGTTCTTCGCCACACTTTTTGGTGGACCAGTTTGAGTTCGCATGCTGCAACCAGAGCCACTTTGGGGATTTTGAGGTCCAGCGTGTGGGTCGGCCAGGGCAACATTATGGAGCTCATGTCGGAGAACCACAGCAACGCTGTCAAGGCACGCGGCACCGGAAAAACGTCTCGTGGTTTCGGGGCATGTTGTACCAAGTGCCTGAACCGCCAATTATAGTGGGAGATCACCTGTTTGAGCACTCAAAGGGTTTGGCCAACCCTTCAAAGCACACGACGCGTGTGTTGACGTTTCGTTCCGCACTTTCGCGATTCGGATCCGCACGAAAAGGACGGCGAGCGAGTCCTGCTTCGGGCCTCCAGCGAGGCGCGTGGGAGGGTTGGGAAGGGGTTGTTGGATGTCAATCTCTTTCAGTACCCCCCCGAACGTCAGGTTCTACTTCCATTTGCTTAAGAAGTTGTTTTCTTTTCTCTTGTTTTTCTTTTTTAAACAAATCCCCTGTTGGTTTCAAAGAGAATCTGTCACTTGCTTTTTATGTTTTGAAGGGGGCTTAAGCAAATGGAAGTCTATGTTATTGTTGGTGGGAGCGTACGTACTACAGTCATACTGTCAGTACGTACTTTGGATATGTTTAACATGTTCACAGATCAACTCGCCTGGAGAGAGGCTTGCAAAGTGCTTTTCTTAAACGCCTACGAATACATTCATATCTTTATGTATATATATATATATATGTGACTGATGAATAGTGTATTCATGACGACGACTTGGCAAGAACATGGGACATTTGACGAGGGAGAATCTAAATCCCTGGTCCGGGCTGCCGAGAGCTCATCGATGGGTTTCCTTGCACTCCTTTCACAACTGCTTTGTACTTGATCAGTTCTTGGCGCTATATGCCTCTCAAATTATTGGGGGGGGGGGGTGGGGCCAATCACTAGCAAGAAGGGCCAAAACGAGCAGCCACCCCAAGCCGCCAAGTACTGTTGGGAAAGTAGACGGGTCCCTGTTCCATCGTGGGGTCCAATACTCTTCGCTCTTAGGTGACAGAGAGAATGGGTATTTATGCGGAGCCAGAACAGGCTGAAAACGTTCAAGGAGGAGCACGACGATGCCGGCACGACTAAGCAACTCGTGAAGCCGCCCACAAACATTGAAAGTGCCAAAGGGTTGGCAATGCAAGGACTACTTCTGGCTTTCAGCATCCTTGCCTGAGCGAATCGAAATGCTGACTCAAGCTTTTTGTTGAATCCGACATTTTATCATAAGGTTCTTACTGCCATGGCATATGGTGTTTCTCCGACTTGTGAGCTGGGTGAATTCGACGTCACATGGCATGGCCTCCGTTGCGTGGTGTGAGCATCAAATTTCGGGTGAGTCAGCTTCCTTTTGGCTTGACGCTTAAAATTGGTAAACTTTAAGAATTTTGTATCCCCCGGATTCGCGGACGCCTCAATATTCCACCCTCTATGAATTCAATAAGCGAATCCCTCAAAATGAAGCCTCCCTGAGAAAATGAGAGAGATCACTAGCTACCCACACTCACAGTATAGGTCACCCTCCCCCTACGTGGGTGGTGTCCAAGTCGCTCAGGGCGAAGCGCAGCAGTGGGCGCAGGCCCTACAGGAGCAGATTCAGTGCGCCGAAGCTGCCGTGTCAGGGCGGAGAGGTCTGCTGCTTTTGTTATTTGATCATATTTGATTCAAATGACGCCACAAGGGAAGCCATCAATTGTTGAATATTGGAGGGGAAACACACGTTTGCATGGAGGAGAACCTCCCTTTCTGGCTTGATTTGAAGGAGAACCCGAGGGAAAGCCCCTGTTTCGGTTTTGTGTTAAAGGTAAACCAGGCGCTTGCAACGGACCCTGAAACGAATTCCCCTAATTGTCCGCCGTGGGGAATTTTCACAGGGAGGCGCCTGAGGACTCTGAACGGGATGCTGGTTTTGTTCAAGTTTTTGGCCGCCCTCAACTGAACCAGTTGCATCCTTTGTTTGCCAACAAGCGGGCGTCGTGCAATCGAGACACCTTGTCTATGGACCCATGCGTCATATGTTTAGGTGACTAGTTTCGAGCCAAACACGGACTCTCGTATTGTTGATACCATGGCTCTGTCGATGCGCACACTCAGCGGCTGTTTTTGGACTGTACTTTTTGGGGTTCGGTTGAGCTTCAAATCCTCCGAACATCGAGTCCAAGGAGTCGGAAGTTTGGACCCGAAGTCCTTGATGGCACCAGAAAGAGAGCTACAGGTGGACCCAAACCCATGGCTGCTCCGCTAAACCGAGAAAGGGACATGAGTTTCTTTTTTGCTTTAAGGGGAACTCCCCAAACTGTTTTTTTTTTTTTGTGGCTTCGCTTGACCAAACCAATCAAAACAAAAAAAACCACAAGGCAACATCGCCACACGGAACCGTTTAGTTCCCGGCATCCCCTTGAGTTTCTCTGTTGCCCAGTGGATTCTCTTTTTTCCCACTTTTCTTGGGTAAGGCTTCCCCTTTAAACTGAACCAACAAAGGGTGCGCCTTTTGTTTCTTCTTCTTTTTTGTTCTCTTTTTCGAGTGGGAATCCACTGGGCATCTCAGGTTTTTAGTTTTTTGGTGCTTTGGTCGGGTGTCCATCTTCCCCCCAAAAAAATCGTTTTTTAAACTCAACCAACAAAACAAAGATGCCCTCTTCTTCACATGGGCACTGTGCATCTGAGGGTTGGGTGTCCATTTCCCGCTAGCAAACAGAGTCGCTTTTCGTGGATCTGGACACGGACAGCGAAGCCCGGAAGGTACGTGGAGATGCTCTTAGCCTGGCCCATGCCCATGGATGGCCGGCAGGGCGACATCAGGCGAACTCGGGGAGTGACAGAGTTTTCGGACGAGAAAAACAGAATTCGGACGAAGCAAAATACGGGTTCCTACAGCGCATGTGTTGAAAAGAAAGAAAACCACTCAGGGTTAGCCAAGAATTTGGATTGTTCGTTGCATTCGCTTGGGCCATCCGTTTTCCCAGACCGCGTTTTGGTCTCATTTCACCTTCACTGTCGTTGAGGTGGCAGGATCTCGGGGCGCAAGGAGCCTTCTAGTTCACAAGGTGCACTCCGCTTGTTTGACAACCCAACCTGAAAGCTGCCTGGGGATGTTTTCTTTCTACCCAGGTTGCCATTTGCAGGTTGATCGAACGGTCCTTTACATGGGATGAGTATTGAGAAAAAACGCGAACGCCATGACAATTCCCACCAAATGGGAAAAGTCATTTTAGGGGGCCAGGACGAATGATCAATCCCCACTTGTCTACCCTGGGAATTTTGGGAACGCAGCGGGTTATGAGTTGCAACAGGAGAAGTGGGGCCCTTTTGCGAGATGGTCAACAGAAGCTCGTCCAAATCGCTTTCCACCCTGAGATGATTTAAAACAGGTTTGGCCTATGTCCTTTGTGTTTTTGTTTTTGTTTGTGCGGTTCAAGCGAACCTTGCCCAATTCTGACCTGTTGGAACCTTACATTATTATATGAAATGGAAACATGGAATTATGTCATTTGACTATTTCCAGTGTGCCAGGCATGGTGTCAACTCATGTTATTATTGAGAGCAAACCTTAAACTTAATCATGCAACATCTTGAACACTCGCAGCATGTACATCTGTTGATGAGCTATGAACAACAATGCCACTACAAGGGTTGACGGCCGTGCTTGTGAAGTACATAGTGTGTATCTTATGTATTTGTGTTTTCCATATTGATACACCCGATGAAGTGAATCAACTGTCCTGCAAGGGCAACTCAAAAGCAAGTGCGAATCAGTTTGTATATGTATATAATATACATACTTTTGGATTACTGCTGATGATGTTCCATCGCTATGGTAATCAAACCGCAAGCAGGCGTTGAGAATACATCCTCAACGGTCGCAATCACGCAGAGATGCTAGATATTTTCCTAATGTGTGAGTTTCCGATCCCTTTTGTTTGCAGTGCAGGGGAAACCTGAGTGTAAGGTTGAGTGTTTGGAAGGATTGAACAACTACCCATGCATTGCATTTCCTGGGAGCCCTCCAACTTTTGGACCAGAAATGTCTGGCCGCCCCAAAGGTCCGACGGTCGATTTGCATTCCGATTTCGTCAAAAGGCTCGAAGGTCGGGCGATCCAACTTCTCGACATGGCTGCTGCACATTCGTTGCGAGAAATCCGGGCGATTTGACGTGACGTGCATTTCAGTTGGGCCAACACCTAAATGCGGGTTGCAGCAGAAACTGTGCAACCAACCTTCCTGCTGTCTCTCAACAACAAGGGGAGCAGTTGTGTGTGTGTGTGTGTTTGTTACTAAGCGCTGCCCAATGGGGGGAATCGGAGCTTCGGGACTGCTTGGAATTGCCTACGATTTGGAACATGGGTTCGGTTGGAATCGGATTGTTGCTTGGGGGGGCTGGGCGAAAGCTCGGAGCTCAGAAACTAGTTGCTGTGACATCTTCAACAAGATACGTGATAGAGGTCGGCCAATACATCACTTTGCTGGGGCATCGAACATACGCATCATAATGATAAGACGTTGCTTCGTCCATGTCTTTCAAGAACCTCAGCAAGCTGCCTACTGGCATGCAACGAGTCCGCTGGCTTCCGAGACGGAATTACGAGACTTTGCGCCTGTCTCTCTCAGTCAGACTCCTTGTGTAGCCGGCCGCCCGCGCGCGCTTCAAGCTTTAGCGCGCCGCTCGCCTTCGCTCGCGCGACGCGTATGGGGCCGTCCAACACCCTTGAAAGCCCCTGCTTGTTGTTCTCGCATGGCGCGACATAAGTTGGGCCCTTTTGGTGAATAACATTAGAGGGGATGTCTGTCCGCGAAGGCAAAACATACGCACAGATTCGGGAAACTTCCTCCTAGCGTTTTTCCCCAACAGGCGCAGCAAGGGCTAGCTACCCTCTGGCCCTTGGAAGGCTGTGGGATTGCGTCTGCAAGCGTATGGTGGACAGCCTGCCACTGCAAAGCACAAGAACTGATGTTCAGCGACTTGGTCTAAAGCGTGGCTCAGTTGCCTTGGAATTGGGCCGCAGCACGCACTTTGCAGCTGGGGCACACACGTAGGACGAAAAAACACCTCACCACACACACCACACTCGCCCACCCACACACACGCCCACCACATACGCTCAACGCAACGGTGCGCACGCCACACAAACCAACACACACACACACACCCGCCCCACCCACCCACCCGCCCCACATCTTGTTCATCCGCACACACCACACACACGCACGCCACACACACAAACCCACCCACCCACCCACCCACCCACCCACCCACCCACCCACCCACCCACCCACCCACCCACCCACCCACCCACCCACCCACCCACCCACCCACCCACCCACCCACCCACCCACCCACCCACCCACCCACCCACCCACCCACCCACCACCACACCCATCCACCCACCCCACCACCACCCACCCACCGACCCACCCACACCCACGCAGCCACACCCCACCCACCCACGCCCACCCACCCCCCCCCACCCACCCACCCACCCACCCACCCAACCACCCACCCACCCACGTGCACGCGCAAGCGCACGCGCAAGCGCACGCGCACGCGCACGCGCACGCGCACGCACGCACGACACACACACACACACACAACAACACACACAACACACAACACACAACACGACAAACACAACACATACACAGAACACACACGCAACACACACACACACGAAGCACATGCACACACAACACACACGACACACAACAGGCACACACACACAGAGCACACACGACACACACGACACACAACACACACGCAACACAACACAAACATGCAACACACACAGGCAACACACAATCACATACAACACTGTACACAACACGCACACAAGACGCAACACAGAACACAACACACACACAACACACAACACACAACACACACAACACACAATACACACAACGCATAGTGACACAACACACACACATACACCACGTACACACAAAATATGCGCAACACAACACACATACAACACACGCAGCACACACCACAACAGGAACACGACACAAAGAGCACACACAAAAACACACGGCCAACACACACACACACACTACACACACATGACGCACACACACAAGACACAACATATATACAAAACACACAACACACAACACACACACGACGCACACACACAAGATACAACACACATACAAACACACACAACACACACACACCACACGCACACACACACACACACCACACACACACACGACACACAACACACATACAAACACACAACGCACACACACAAGATACAACACACATACAAACACACACACAACACACACACACACCACACGCACACACACACACACACCACACACACACACACGACACACAACACACATACAAACACACAACGCAGCACACACATACACACATCATGCAACACGCATACACACACAGCACACAACACACACACACAACACACACACAACACACACAACACACATACAAACACACAACACACACGACACAACACACATACAAACACACACGCACGCACACACACACACACTCACAGCACACGCAACACACACACGACACGCACACGCACACGCACACGCACACACACACACACACACACACACACACACACGACACACACGACACACAACACACACACACAACACACACACACGATGCACACACGCACAACGCACAAGACACACACACACACACGCACGAAGCACAACACACATCACACAACGCAACACACACATAATTTTGGGCATGGCAGTGGCCGGAAAACCATCCGTAGGTTCTACGGCGTGGAGTATCCCTGATCTTCCGCGTCAGCTCCGAGTCTGCAGGCCTGAAGAAAAACCATTTCGGCGGGGTGATGCTTCAGGCGGGGGAATAGGGGACTCACTAAATTCCTATAGGATCTGTCAAAACATAGGGAATCACTCGTCACTCAACATGTGTTTGTTTTGGGATATCCTGATCCATTTGTTCAAGAAGGTTTTGCTTTTCCCTTGTTGGTTTTCAGCCAAAGCGGCTGAACGATCATCAAGCGCACATTTTGGTTGCGGCTCATACATTATGGAGACATGTTGATCCCCCTAGCATTGACTTGTTGTTTGGCAATGTGTGGACCAGCTTATGTTTTTTTTGTTTTATTCGCGCCACTCCGCTTTGTGTGACAGTTGATTCGGCATTTGCTCTGGCAGGTGGACGTCGGATTCTACATGAGGTATTCTGAGACGGCCTATTGTCTAGTTTCGCAAGTCTCCGCTTTGTGTGACATTTGATTCGGCATTCGCTCTGATTTTCGCAGGTTGCAGGCGGAACAGCTGAAGGTAATGCAGGACCGTTAATCATTTTGGGCTGTGACCCGCTCAACATCGCACCCTTGGGAAGATAGTGAAGACATCCGCACCCAAAACCAACTTGAGCCCCCCGAAAAAGGCTCTTTAAGAAGCTAATTCATTGCAAACGGACACAGTGGTTCAGAAGACCGTCCTGTTGTTGTATGCCCTGTTTGAGGCTAGGATCATTTGCGGTTGAGATCATAAAGGCCTGGTTCCATTCTGGGTAATGTGGAAAGCGCCAGCTTTTAATGGACCTGGCTCGCAGACAAATATCCAGCCATTGCCAAAGGCAAGGGCTCAGGAGTCGCATGAGTTGCGTGAGGAAGAGTTCGCGCTTGCCTGCGCTTTTCCCTTCCCAAACCCTAAACCCTACAACCTACACCCTACTCTGGCCTGCGGTCGTAGCAGGTCCAAAAAGTAGTCGATGCCTCCGTCTTTGGCATGGGTGCTGGTTTTTTGGGACGATCAAGTGAGCAGGTAGTGACTCCATTTGCCCGCTCACCAACGAGCAAAGGAGCTTAACATGGAGGTTTCCAATCATCAGCCAGTTGTCGCAAGTGTTTACTCGAGTTTTCTATCTTCGGGAAGGGTCTCAGATCTCTCATGCCTTTGGGCGTCCGGCTCTGAGGACAAAGGGCTCAATGACGGCCGAACAACACATGCAAGACGTGAGCAGAAAGCAGGAGAAAGGACTGGCATGAAGCTCCAAGCACTGATTCGTCCATTTGCGCGTCAGTTGGTTATTATAGATATATATATATATATATATGTCCCTTCATGTTTTCCAGGGAGCTCAAGCAAAAGATTGGTTTGGCCTGGTGGCTGTTTGCTTGTTCGGTTCGTTGTCAGCAATCCCACAATCTTTGAGCAGTTCCAAGCTTGGAAAGATGCGCGAGCCTTCTTGCTGGGCTCACCCCATGGTCAAGAAGAAACCACCCTTGAACAAACAAAAAAAAAACACAGGACACAACTCCGGCGAAACCTGTTCAAAGGATCCGCCTGTGGCAAGTCATAGCCAGCCACGGCCTACTTGTGGCGTCGGCCCGGGGCGCTCGCTGGCCCTTTTTTTCCCGGCCATGGCGGCCGGGGGCTCGAAGAGGGCGCTGTTTTGACCTGGGTGTACTTGCTGGTGCCATAAGTAGGTAACCCAGGGTTTGGGAATGAACCGGTTTTGGTTGGATTCCCTTAAAGGAAACCACCAGTTGGATGATCTATAGGGGTCATTCCCTCATTCTTTGCTGTTTACAAGCAAACCAAAAGGCACACTGAGGCCATGTTCGGGGGAAGCAGTTTGACATAGCGCACGTCCTGCTTGCGCCCAATTTGGGGGCGAACGGCAAGTGCGTCGGGTCAAGCGGAACAAGCCAAGGACACTGGCCAGTAGCCCAAGAATATGATTCACCGAGCGCACAAATCGCGGGGATGTTTGGATGTTTGCCGGAGAAGTGTGGTGCCGTCTGTAGTTCATTGTCGTTGGAGCGGTGTCACCTTTTTTGCATTGTTGGGCAAGTTCGAGCTTGAGCAGTTCGGGCACCTCGGGACTCCGCCAGGCACCCTTTGCTTGCTGGTTCTCAGCAGGTTCATTCCCTACTAAGCACCAGCAAGTTCACATTGTCATGTGACCCACTTGCAATATGTTCGGTAGTCTACGCGCATGCTGCTTGGGCGGACATGAACAAGCCCGCCCAATGTGTCCATACCAAAAGGTCTGTGGCCGTTTCAACAACACAACACCTCGCTTGGGGCTCAAAACATGCGAGCCTAGCCAACTAGTCAGGGAACACCCCAAAATGGGTGTGCCTTTTCAGGATTTGGATCCCCAAAATGGCGGTTCTCCTTATGCCTGCAAAAACCACAAAAAATGGGGTACCCTCACAAAAGACGCACCCACCAAAATAGAGGGTTTCCTTACCAAAAGGGAACCGCCCCTGATTCATACGGTCCTTTGGATTAATCCGAAGGTAACAAGATCGGGGGATTTTGATTCGATTGCGGTTGAGTAAAGGTGTAGCCAGGAGTATCAGGAGTACAGAGCGGCCTTTGAATCCACTGAGCCACTTGGAATATAATCATGTTCACTTGGTTGCTTTGTTTCGCCCGTGCTGTCCCTGCTTAAGGCCCGACTTGCTGGCAGAGCTGCCTATGTTGCTGTGAAACCAAGCTCTTTGTTCTGGTACTATCTGCGGACATTGACTCTTTGCAGGGGATTTGTGCATGTTTCTGCCATGCTGGTAAGCAGCAAAGAAAGCACTTAGCAGGTTGATGACACAAGGCGACGCTGGTGTTTGCAATCTGTTTGTTGTCCTTCTCGGGAAAGGTTGATACCATCGCTCCCCAACCCCATCACCTTTCAAGTGGGATTAGTTGAAACAAAACACATGATGTACTGGGCACAGTCGGGCAGAGTCTGTGCGCTTGCCCGCAGTTTCCAAGGTTTTTTGCCAGATCATGAAGTACTTGATGCTGCTGTTGAGCGCTATCGCGGGCGGGCTGCCTTGCTGCATGTCGTTTGTTCTTGAGTGTGTTGCGAGTGTGGATGTGTGTGTGTGTGTGTGTGCGCATACATATCATGTGCCCGTGCATGTGTGTACTCTGAGCGTTGTGTTGTTGCTTTGTGTTCGTATGCTTAGGATGTACGGGATGGGCAGCACAGCGGCCAGTCCATATCTTGATTTGTGAGGACATGAGGAACTACACAACTCCGATCACCGGAATGAGAATGGTAGCAAAAACAAATATTGGTTCCCTGTGAAAGACGCAAGCCCCGTTTGAGAGTCCTGACAATATTGTGCTTTGCTTACAATACGCGGACTGCCCAGAAATGTGCCCTTCAAGTCAAACAGACCGGGTTCCATTTTAGGGTTGTTCTATCAAGAAAACTCCCCCTCCAATTGAGGAAGGCTGCTGTTTGTCCTACCACTGTTTTGACAGCTTGGCAGATTGTCCCTACGCATGCATCCTCCATATTGAGGAATCCAAGGAGAAGGTCCATGGAAGGAGCTTGCAGAGTCATTTGATGTTGGGGCCTGGTTGTGCTTGTTGCTCGATTCCGGGAAGTTGTGGGGAATTTTGTTTGTGGGAAAGAAGGAGAAGAAGCCGCCAGAGTTCAAACAATTGAGTTCTGGAATCATTACATTTACAAAAGGAACTTGGCTGTCGTGTTTGCTTTTTCTCTTTCTCTTGGAGTGTTGGCATGCAAGCTCAGCTGGATGGCTCAAGATGGGCAACCCAAGGCACCACATTGGAGTCAATGTTTTCCTGGGATCGATTTCCAAAAGCAAATCAGCACTGGGTCCTTGAATTTTGAAGACTTGGGATTCAACTATATAGGGTTATAGAGATTAGGGCTAGTTCCCTCTCCTCGGAAGTACATAGGCATTTCTGGGCATGCTCAAAAGTTTGGAGCCTTGGCTCTCCGCATCTGAGGCTGATGATATGGAAGGCTGCCGGGAGGGCCTTGTATCATGGGGCTGGATATTGCGGCCGATCCCGTCGACAAAAGGCAGACAAAGAAGGAAGCCAAATTGGGGGATTTTCGGAAATGGGTGATTTGTGTGACCCTGGCGTCATTTTGGCTAGGCCTAGGGGTTTCGTGGGTCGAACACAGGGCCCAAGTGTTGAAAGCAGTCTAGCTGCTGTCGTTCAGCGAGCCAAATCCATTCCCCGTGTACCGACTTTGACCATGGCACACATTGGGCCTCACTCACTGCGCATGCATCGCGAGAGCAGTTTGTTTTGGATGCCCACTTTGTTTCGCACTTGGCACACATGATTCTCCCAAAAAAAAGCAACGACCCTGTTTGCGGACCCGCGTTTAGGGCACTGCAACATGTCACTATAGTCACAAAGGAATGTTTATGTATATATATATATACATGTTTGAAGCACATTGTTTGTTGACACCGGGGCGAGGCTATTCCTACCCTAAAATGTGTTGCGATGTGCTCTCCCCGTTTTGTCGTGTTTGTTTGTTTTTCCCCCCCCGGGGAAGGTGTTTTCTTTCGATTCGAGCAATCAGAGACGTTGCAGCCTCTCAAGATCTTTTTCGAAGCTGTCAAGAACCGGATTTCTAGCGTTGGCGGGCCCATTGGGCGGGCGCCTTCAGTGATGACACCACCTCATTTTTTGCAACAACTCTGCGTTTGGTTTTACCTTCTCATTCGCCCAGTTAATGTCCGGGTCCTTTTTCCCGCGGTTCAGATGCGAGTTAAATTGGTGAATGGACTATGAAAGGAAAACCGCAGAGGTATCCCTTGAACTGGCTACGTAAATCACACAGATTGAGAGCATGGCCAGAAACTTGAGGGAAATCTGTGGGACAAAAATGTGGGAAAGAGCACCTTGCCACATCAACCCCCCACAAAAATCAGATTGAGAGTATGGACAGAAACTGCAGGGAAATCTGTGGGACAAAGGATTATGCTGCGTGATTTTGTCGTTCTTGTGGTTGGTTGTGTTTTTTTGTGTTATTG